TTTTTCTTACAGCAAATCTTTTAGGCTGCTCCAGAGAGTTCAAAAGCTTGTTACAAGTGTCACTAACGCTAGCGATCATTTTAAGAGCTTGAGATGTTCTCAAGTCACTACAACACTAAATATCTTAACTGCGCATGAGCGAACGGCCATATTTATTCTATATCACAAAATGTTATCGCCTTTGGTTCTTCCCCGCAACATTTTCCAGTGTTTCCGATAAAGTCTACAAGCATATGACAGTGTTGTATATCGCCCATGCAGGTTTCATGGCCCTAGGACCTCCGATGTGATACTTTCATCAACGACCTTTTTGGTTGCTCACATCCTTTGCAATATTTTTTTGAACCCCACTTCAGATCAGTTCTTGACAGATCACTATGCTAGATCATTTGCTCCCTCACATTTTTAAATTTAGCAGTGTGAAACTAAGCCATGGAAGCCAAGAAAATCTGGTTGCCCATTGTACACAGAGGGTTGCTAGAAGGATTTTCAACCAACCATCAAAACAAAGCGATCGACTTTCTGCTTTAAAATTCCACAAAGTGTGAATCCGAATCTAATTGACTCAGCTCATCAAGCATCAACCTAAACCAACAACAAACTAACAACATGTATGGAGTGCAGAGATTTCTATGAAATCCAGTTTGGGCTCACAGCTACAAAACCAATATTTTTTTCAAATCAACTATTCAAATATGTTAAATACACCATAGTAATTGACGAGTCATGTCACTCTTCATTTCAGACTACTGATGACTCTCTCATCCCCCACAAGTCCTATTTGTTTGTCTTCTTTTTTCTCCGAAGCACATGCCCACGTCAGTGCTGCAGCACCTGCAGTATCTCGGGCATCTGGATCTTTTCCACTTGGCGATCCTGGGATCTGCAAACATCCCTACATCATCCTACATCGATCTCTACATGGATGGCTCAAGCACCCCCCCCGCTCTGTTCCCTCACCGACTGGCTCAAGCACCCCGCCCGCGCCGTTCCGGTCCCCCTCGGGTCAGCGGCTACGTAGCGTGACGACCCGACTCGACTCGACGGATGCGGAGATGCTGAAGGGGCACGTGGATGTTCTGTTTTCTTTACAATGAAAAAAACCCAATAGCCACACGGTCTGGGCTCCTCCAATTCACAAAAAAGGCACACGAAAACGGGCAGCACCGGTTTCATTGAACAGAAGCACATCAGCGATTCCATGCAACATCTCGTGGGGAAGGCCCAGTCAGGCCTGACATGAGACAGATTCTATTTAAAATCATTTTAGACTTTAGACCTCTCCATGACTGACCCATCCACTTCCCACCTTCCCACCCTTCCCTTGTTTTTCTTCATGCCGGTCGCCCGCTCCCCCCCCGGATCGCCCGGAAACCGCCGGGTTCGTCCTTGGTGACTTTCGGGGCGCCCGATCACGTAGCCTGGACCCAGTGGAACGAGGTGGGTTCGGGGTCACATGGAGAAAAGTCCAGCAGAAATAGGACGAAGACCGTCTAGAACAAGACCACCCACGGGGGTCACATGGAGTGGGGTGGTGTTGGGTCCAGAACCTGTGGAGCTGAGCAAGCGTTCGACTACCTCTACTACCGTTCGGAACCGGCACCCCTCACCGACAGTGACTCCTGGACAGTGCAAAATCACCGGGTGTTGAGTTCTGGTGATGTTCTGGTGATCCGATCGAATGGACTGGTATGGAGACGAGACGAAACATACAACACCATGGGCTGACAACATACAACACCATCGCAGCCTGTTTTGAGAGGGACAAGGCGAAGAATTGGGCCTTGTTTCATATCAGTTTGGTAGGATTGTAGGGCTGATAGGGAGACTCCCCTTTCTCGCCGCTCGGTTACTGTAGTAAACGGGTCTATTTTCCGACACCGTTTTCTTGGCTCGGTGTTCGCCGCAGAGGTCGGTCGGTGTTCCCCATGAAAGCTCACGAAAAAATTCTTCATGCTCTTCCAATGCGACCTGCGCCGCACGCAACCACACAACCTTCCACGAAGAGTTGAAGAGTACATTTGCGTAGAATCAATTGGGGTCGCCAACTGACTCTCATCTGACTCTCATCTCATGCCTGACTGCCCATGTCAAACTCTGCCAAGTACAAATTTACGCACACAGTCACTTCCACATAATCGAGGAGCATGAGGTGATCCGCTAAGCAATGGTGACAACATAATGTGACAACAAACTTCCCGTAGAAAGTCGTTGCGAGCCATCTCTACCCCTCTTGTTCCGCATATCAGTCCAATTTGGTGCAACATCATCGTTGCAAGAACTGAGGTAAAACTCAATCAAACATCAAATTGGGTCCCTACTGACCAGTATCATGATTGTCCCATTCTTGTTCGAAGTCTTTGAGGCTAGCACCAAACTATGGAAGAACGAACAGAAGGGCCTTGGTTTCGGTATCATGTAAGTATAGTCGTAATAGTCATAGTGTTCCTCAAAGAAGGAACTTTTGATGAGCCTCTTTCAGAATAATTCAATTGCAAACCTGCACCATCGTATACAGTCATTCCTCCTACAAGTAGGGCGGAAGGAAAGGACAAAAAGAACATGCAGCTCTTCAGACTAACTCAGGAACCAAGACCGATCTGGACACGTCCAGGAGAAACTTTGCAAAGTGTAGTTCGATCTTGGTGACTGATACATTGGGAACCTGAATGACCTCTATTTTATTCTATTTTGGACCACCAACCACCCAATCTGTGGTCTTGTCCCATCAAAACAGGGGTCATGTCTGGGTTACTGATATACTTTTTGCCTTTTGAAGGCCTCTCAGCACGCCTGTTGCATGCGCCAAGGGTGCATTTCCTGCCTGGGCCGCGGCGACGGAGCCGAGACTTTGCATCCATGGTTTAACCACCGCGCCAAGAAGATTCTGTTTTGGGAAGAGAATTCAAGGTGATGATTTGAGGAAAGAGCTCTCAATTTGGGTGATAATATGTTCAAGAGCTCTCTTCAAGAGCTATCCTGTATTTTAGCTAATTCAAGAGCTCTCAATTTGTCCAATGATTTGAGGAAAGCCTTCCCCAGTACTCCGGCCCTGGCGCAACCTCGACGACCAGCTGGCGATCTGTGGCGCCCGCACCAGCTCAGTGTGCCGATGAAGGTCCGCCTTAAGCTGACCTCAGCGATCCACCAGCGCCGCAAGCAAACCCATGCGACGAGACATCGTCCAGGAAGGGGGAACCAACATATATTCACCAGAAGGGGGTTTTACTATAATGGAACATATTGGAAAATCAACCATCATCACCTGATCCGCAAAACCCTGAAAACGACGAGACATCGAGAGTGCGCTCAAGTGCAGAGTGCTTGCAGAGCGATGGATTTGGAGGAGTCCCTCATCTTTTGGGCAAAACGTTCAAACAGAGGTTCTACTGTAGAAGTGGAGAAGCCAGTACGGGCAAACTGACATGTCGTCCTACCCAAAACCATGAAAATCCGAACTCGATGGGGGACTAAGGGATGACAGTCAGGAAACCCCTTAGTGATCGCTGGAGGTGGTCCAACTCATGGTCAAAACTCGAATGCGTCTGGCTGGTATTTGTTCTCTATATATATATACATTGTATACACAAGTCTATAAATATATATATACCTTCAAATCCCACCGAAACCAATAGATTTTGTTGATCTTTCCCATAGTTTTAGGATGGCACTCGCTTCATTCTGAGATCAGATTCTCGGCATGAACCAGGACGTCTTCCCGAAGCCCCCCCCGTCTTAGCTTCGACTCTTCAAGTCCCACCCGACAACACCTCTGCAGCTCCGGGAGTGATCCCCTTCTGTTCGGATCTTTTCTGAACGGTCTGACCGGTGATGTTCTGCGGGTAGCTTTGCCCAGCTGCCAAACCGTCACGTCCAGATCTGTCCAGGGAACTTCCGTCTTGACTCATCACTTGTGGATGAACGGTTCGAAAGCGGCCAGCTCCGGAGCTGCGGTACGCTTCACCCCGCCAGCTAGGGCCGCTTAGCTGCTCGGCTTCAGGCATCCGACTCGTCGCGGGCGACGACTTGTCGCTCCAGCTCTTCCACCCGAGCTTTTAAGAATTGGCCCTCCTTCTTCAAGGATCTGCTCTCCTGCCAGCCAGCGGCCGATAAAGGACGGCGAACCGAATCTTTGGACCCGAACTGGTGGAACCCGGTGAAGCGTGGCTTCCGAGCTGCCAAGAGCTGCCAAGAAAACCATCAAGACTTGGACCTAGAACATCTATCTACCCTCCCTGAGATGGACATGGACAACTCCAAGGGGATCAGCAATCATACACTAACACTATATACAACACTTCAACGTCACGAAAGATCAGCAAATCTGAGCTCCTTCTTTATGGTTTGGTTCTCCTTCTTCAAGGCCTGGTTTTCCTTGTGCAGGGCCAACATGTGAATTCCCACGTTGCCGGCCATATGAGCTTCCATCTGATCCATCCTCACCATCTCGCTGCACAGCTCGCAAGGGATAGGACGACATCTGCACATCTCCTGTGACGAGTGAGATCGAGTTCGCACAAACGCGTCGAAATAGGTGGGGCATTCCCAGGAACCTTCGCTTGATGCACCTGTCATTTCTGTACTTTCCACATCTTCCAACAGTAGTTCTGAAGTCTTCTGAGAACATTCTGAGCTCGTGAACTGGAGGCCTCCGGTAGTAGAGAGTTGGCCTCCCCTACAAGGCCCGTGCCAGCCATCCAGTGGGTTCTATCCGTTGCGAGCTGTGAACAGGATGTTTTTTCGGCTGTTAAGACTTGAAACATCTTGCTCCAGGAGTCACCAAAGGGGTGCTTAATGGAGGTGCCCACTATCACTATCCACTCACTTAGGGACCAAACACCACCTCTTTGTGACTCCTGGCTGTTAAGTCTAAAAACTACGCAAAAACAAGACATTTGATGTGTCCTTCTCGTGAATTGTGAGCATCTCAGCAAGCATCTCCTCACCACATGCACTACATCGCCGGTAAGTGGCACAGAAGGTCACATGCGCTTCCTTGTCCCCCAAGCGAATGGTCTCTCCGCAGTCCAGGGGACATCGGATCTTGAGATTCAAGATCTTGCGTTGATCGCGAGGCGCCCGCACGATGCTATGTCCGTCCTCGCGACAGACGGGACAATTGCGATGGTCGGTGATCCATCGATCCCAACAGCTCTCGCAAAAGAGATGCCCACAATCATGTGCAAGAGCATCACGTGCCACATATAGGCAGATCGGGCATTGCATGCTGCTGGCTTCCTCTACATCGAGCCATTCCTCATCATGACCAATACCTTGGACGGATGATGGCCGAGCATTCAACAGGGGCACCATATTATATTCTCTGAATTTCCCCGACTTCTTCTCTTCCAGAACAAATCATGACATGTTTTAAGAACAACGACGGCAGTGCGACGACACCTGTGCACCTCTTTTCCTACCACCGCCCGTGTGCACCTGGGTGGTTCGCACACTCGATGGAGTCGCCCTCTGAGTCCATGAAGGATGTGACGCCTTCCTCCATTTCCTCCTCGCTGTAGCCGACATAGTTGCTGTCCTCGGACTCTGTCAGCTGAACGGCACTCAGTGGCGCCCAGAGCGTGGCGAACCTCGGAACTGGACACAAACTTTTGGGCCGATTCCCCAAATCAGGGGATTCACCCATACCCATACACTCCATGGGACTGGAATCTATGCCGCCCCATTGACCCCCTTTCAACCACCCCAATGTAGGCATTTCTGGGATAGGGAAAAGTAAACAATCCTCAGCAAAACCACGGAACTGTTGGGTGGTAAACCACTCTCCTTCGATTCGGTGGATGTACTGCGTCCAGCCGGCGCCGAAGGACAAGGCGCTGCCCGGACATCCGGAGAAGTCCACGTGTTCGCTGCCCTGAATGAACCTCACGCGGCGACCGACCATGTAATCCGTGCTTCTGGGTTCCGCCACGGTCAAGTCATACTTGCCCTCAGCACCCACGCGATACATGTGATGGCAAACAGGCTCATGGTCCCACCAAACGCAAACCCAGCCGGCCATCGAGCATGGCTGGGTGGTGCCCAAACCTCCACCGTCTTGATTCTGCCACTTCCAATCTGGACCTCGCCTCACTCGGATCCCCGGCTCCGGGATGCGCAAGACTTGACCGTGCCTCGGTCGGTGAAGGAGGGGTGAACGGCGAGACCCAAAGGACCCCCGGTCTGACCGGAGGGGATCTCCAAACACCTTGAGGTCCGAGTTCTGTAGCCTATGACACTACTTAGGGTCATAGATGGTGGAGGGTGTTTGATGGTGTTTGGCTTGGAGGGGCAAGACATACACGGGGTTCCAAAAAAAGAAACATGTCACTGATCATAAACCACAGGCTGCGCTGGAGGGTAGGAGAAGTCGATGATGAGATCGTAACTTCCTTGTGCACCAACCCGGTAGCGCTGTTCCATGCCAGTGTCCCAGCAAACACGGACCCATCCATCTCGTTCAACTCCGTCGATGGTGATGCCCGCTCCGCCGCCGTCCTGGTTGTGCCATTTCCAATCTGGACCTCTCCTCACGCGAATTCCCACTTCTGCGGATGTCAAGATTTCACCTTTTTCAGGGCACATATAGCGGTCGAATGCCCCAGTCCAGCGAACCGGCCGGATTGGTTTGGTCGAATTCTAAAATAGAGAGACCTAAACAATATGGTTTTCTTTTTTTAATTCATGAAGACTACCGAATTACATACTACAAGTATGTGCTTGGTCTTTGTTTTGCGCAATAGTAGCGCAAAATGTATCACATGTTTGATCTTACTCCTGCTGAGATGTCTGAACATGTAGCATCTTCAAAACTCTTCAAAACTCCTACTTTTCAGTTGATTAACGGTTAACGAAAGCAACATCATGTTGCTGATAAGCACATTCTCAGAATCTGCCTCACCTGGTGCTGCCACGAAGGAGTTGTAGACGAGGTCGTAACTGCCTTCTGCTCCAACTCGGTAGTTGTACGTTCTCCAGACTCGATCCCATCTCACGCGAACCCAGCCTTCATCGAGACAACCTTTCACAGGGCGCAGCCGGGCACAGGCAAACTCCAATCGCCCAGGAAGTTCCTTTCATTAGATGCACTTTAGACAACTTAAAACCACCTTAGACAGTTGTTGCCCACAATTTCTTAACACGTTAACCTACACTTTACTGTTTTTCTTCGGTGACTTCAACGGACCAAATGGGTCCGATTTCGCAAGCCCCAACACCCATCGTCTCGCGCCAAGGGCACGGCTCCGAACCTTCAATGGTGATGCCAGGGCCTCCTCCGTCTTGATCTTCCCAGGTCCAATCCTAACCCAAACGCGACCAGTCTGGGACTGCCAGTCCGGACTGCCAGTCCCAGACACGTCGTGTATGGGTAAAAACTCCGCTCGCTCCAGCGACCTGTTCAGGTCCACCGGTAGGATGGATGCCTGGTCTCCATGTGACCGGGGCCCGAGGTGTCTTCTTTCTATTCAGAGGGTCTTATTGGACGGAGTCCTGCATCACTTGTGATAAGCATATACCTGGAGTCGCCAAATACCTTAGAAAATGGGACATGACCCCATAAAAACAGGTACTTGTACCCCTATATATAATACTGTGGTGTATTTAACATATTTGAATAGTTGATTTGAAAAAAATATTGGTTTTGTAGCTGTATACACAAACTGGATTTCATAGAAACTTCCGCACTCCATACATGTTGTTGGTTTGTTGTTGTTTAGGTTGGTTGGGGTGGGGCAGCGCTTGCTTGATCGGCGAGGCTGCCAAGTTCAAGTGGGCTAGGGAAAAAACATCGTTACAGCATTCACTAACGTTGGGAAAAAACATCGTTACAGCATTCACTAACATTCACGGTAGCAAATTTGCACTCCTTACAACAGTCTAGGGCGTTAGCGAATGAGCTGTTACAACATTCACTAACGCATACTAACGCTAGCGATAGCGAATTTGCACTCCTTACAACAGTCCAGGGCGTTAGCAAATGAGATGTTACAACATTCACTAACGCTAGCGATAGCGAATTTGCACTCCTTACAACAGTCCAGGGCGTTAGCGAATGAGTTGTGGAACCCTGTCACCATCTAAACATGAAAGAAGGCTGCAGTCGTGAGTCTCAGAACCTCTGAAGAAATATTAGTGACAAGCCGCTTTCAAGATATTTAGTGCTGTAAGGGCTTGAGATTTCCTCAACCTCTTGAACCATTCACTAACGCTAGCGAATTGTGTAGTAAACTTAGGATTCCTCAGGATCACTCAAAAAGTTATGTTTTCCGCAAAAGTTTTTCTTACAGCAAATCTTTTAGGCTGCTCCAGAGAGTTCAAAAGC